TATTGGTTACAAGTTTCTTAAACTGCAGGCTAAGAGGCTTGGAGCCGCAGGCGAGGAAACGTTGGTTTCCTCCGTCGCTGAGGCAAGCAAACCTCATGTTAGTTTCAAGCTGCCTGGCTGCCGGTGGCCATCTTGGCTGGCAGTTCATTTGCATATCGCCCTGATTCGCCACTGGGAAGGGTAGCGGTCGTACGCTAATTACCTTGTTTCTCTTTTATTATATAAAGTATAGCCATGCTCATTCATTTGTGTATTTTCTCTGGCTGCTTCCACACTGTATCATCATAATGGAGCCATTGTGACCATATGGCCAAGACTGAGTGGCCTACAGAGCCTAAAATATTATCTGGGCCATAACAGAAAAAGTGTCCCTGCTGTTAGAAGGAAAAAAAAAGAAAGCCTGGTCATTCATTACAAGTTAGAAAAGAGGGAGAAACAGTAAATAGGAAGTCATAAAAAAAGAATTTTTTATATATATATAAGCTTAACCAGTCGCTATGACGTGCACTGACCACCAGGGGACAGACGCCCAATGCAGGAGCAGAAACCACAGGCTTGGAAACATGGAACAGACTAATGAATCTCAGAGGGGAGGGGGAAGGAGGGAAGGTGTGAAGAGATTAACCAAAGATCTGATATGCATACTAGAGGCCCAGTGCACAAAAGCCTCTAGTTTAAAATAAAAAGTTAGAAATATAACTAAATATATTGGTGGGGGGAAAATTATACTGGCTAATTCTGGTTTTTCCTTTCTTGCTCTAGGAGATGGACTGAATGGATGACTGCAAAGCGTGTCTGGTTACAGTGGTTCTCAACCTTCCTAATGCCGCGACTCTTTAATACAGTTCCTCATGTTGTGGTGACCCCAACCATAAAATTATTTTCGTTGCTACTTCATAACTGTAATTTTGCTACTGTTATGAATCGTAATGTAATTATATATGTGTTTTCTGATGGTCTTAGGCGACCCCTGTGAAAGGGTCGTTCAACTGCCAAAGGGGTCACGACCCACAGGTTGAGAACCGTTAGGTTAAAACTTGATACAGGACAGCAGTTAGCTGCCTCTGGTGGAGATGGAGTCTTGACCACTTACGAGTTCTTAGAGAAGACAGGCACAAGATAAGGTATTTATTTCTCACTATTTTTGAAGGTGATGTTTTAGGCCCATGACCCATTAGAAATCTCTACAGTAACATACTTGAATAAAAATGTCAAGTTGGACATATTTGAACAAGCTTGATCTCATCTTTTAAGTCTACACATTGTAGACTTATTTCACTTGAACATTAAAGTTAAAAACAGATTATAAGGCAGAAGAAAAAAAACCACAATGTCTTTTGTTAAAAAACCATATACTGTTTATTAAAGTGCAACCTCAGAGCATAGTCTTATAGCAGTGTTGTGTGAGGGAAACAAGGACCAGAGGAGGAATGCACATATCCCCTACAAAGAAAAATTCCTCGCAGAACAGGGACATCTTAATACTACTAAAGAATAGTCTTCTGGTTTAAAAACCAGACAGCACAGGAGATTCTGGATTCAGAGCATGTTGGACTTTTTTCAACTTGATATCCTTTTATTAAGAGTCAAGAAAAACCATAAGTAAAAGGTGTGGAGGTGATTTAAGGGCCAGTGTCACCAAGTTTCCAAAACCGGGTAACTAAAGGCACATTTTCTTTTTCCAAGAAGTCAAGGTGGAGTACCAGAAACTACAGCATACATTCTGTGAGGACTGTCTGCTAATAATCTTGTATTTTCATTTTCCCGCCATAGCCCTCAGTTCAAGCCGAAGAGGTTGTGTCAGGAGAGAACACGTTTTTCTAGGCATAAAAAACAGCCTGGTCAGCATGGCTCAGTTGTTGAGCATCAACCCATGAACCAGGAGGTCATAATTCGATTCCTGGTCAGGGCACATGCCCATGTTGAAAGCTCGATCCCAAGTGTAAGGTGTGCAAGAAGGCAGCCAATCAATGATTGTCTCTCATCATTGATGTTTCTATCTCTCTCTCCCTCTCACTTTCTCTCTGAAATCAATAAAAATATATTTTTTAAGAAATGAAAAACCAGACTTAAAAATTCAACATTTGAGTTGTTGTCTTTTCTAGGGATACAGTTAGAATACAAGTAATAACAAAACCAAATTTTTTAGGTCATGCCCAAATAAACCAGGGAGCGGAGGTGTCTGGTTCCAAGCAATGATTGTTTCCTACACACGTATGATGGTGGATGTTGGGTCCATATGACACACATTACTTTTACTCTATACTAATACTCTTGTTACTGTGAACATGACACTCTGGAGAAGCATTTGAATAAGAATAATTAAGTACTAATATATATTTTCTTGTTACCATTTTTCTGTTCCTTGAGTATTTAAATCAGAAAAGAAAAAAATGACTATCACTTAGCATTAAATACTTAACACACTAGAGTTGGGGCTCAATCTGATATCTGCAATATGTTGCAAATATTAAAAGCAAATATATGTGTCATGCAGGATGAATGCCATCATTTGGAAAACATTTTCCAGTAATGCTATCATTATGTATGTTTTGGAATGGACTTTTCCCCCCAAAGGATACATATCCCAATAGAAACATATTGAATCACACATATACATACATACACTTTCATCCATACAATCAGATTCTCACTGGGGAGAGATTCCAGAAAGAGCAATTTAAATACAAGTAGTTGACTAAACAAATGGAAAAGAGCTCTAAAATAGCAAATTAATCTTTCACAGCTTCTTTCTGTTTTGCTTAAATTAATACATTCACTATTTGGTGTAAATTTTTCCAGACCAAGTCAGATATACCTTCTTACTTATAAAGCAAGATTATCACCTTGTCTCCTCCTGAAAAGATTCTACTGTATCACGTGTTCCATCTTGAACACATCCCAGTCATGACTCAGGGGCACACTGGAAGTTGGTGGATTGTACACTGATAAAATAATTCTTGTGGATAGAACTGAGAAGTGACTTTGTTTCAAGGAATGTATTTCATCCTGTTTTATATATATAATTGAATTAAGTGAAGTATATCCCTTGGTTAAAGATAAAAGGCTTTCTTCTCCAAAATATACTTGGCATATCTGAAAGTCAGGTGGAATGTTTGGTGTATTCAGGTCAAATCATCCTTGATGACCTCACCTCTCAGGATCCAACATTAACTACTGAGATGTGCAGGGCAGCAGTAAGGGCAGTGCATACCCTTATTTTTAAAAAATGTATTTATTGATTTCAGAGAGAGAGCAAGCTAGAAACATCAATGATGAGAGAGAATCATTGATTGCCTCCTGCATCTCCCACACTGGGGATCGAGCCCACAACCCAGCATGCACTGACTGGGAATCAAACCACAATCTCCTGGTTCATAGGTCAATGCTCAACCACTGAGCCACACTCTTATTTTCCAACAATTTCATTAACTGTGTTTACCGGTAACTTAAATATGGAGTGTCCTTTGTTATGATCATGTTTGCAGAACCTGAGTCAAACCAATTATGTACTTAGGAAGGCTACAAGATATTATCTGAAATGATTCCTCCTAAGTAAAGGACATTAATTTAGGTTATATGAATAGAAAGTTGAGTCCATCAATTATCTTCAGATCTCATTTTATTACAACCTCCAATGTGTTCTACCCAATGCAGCACTTACAACAGCAAATATCAGATTTGGATTTTGTCCTGTCCCCTGATTGGCCAAATGCAAATAACAGGTGGGAAAAGGAGCCAGAATGAACCCATAAAAATAAATTGAGCAAATCAGCTGTAGCAAGAGCTAATGAACTTTATATAGAAAAAGGACTCTGCTGATTATGTGAAATGCTTACATTAATTACCAGACATTACTATTTAAATCCAATAGCTGTGAGATGAGAGCATTAGAACCAATAACTCCAGTCAAAGAATGAAGTATGTAGAAAGAGGCACTTTTAATCTAAAGGAAGAAAGAAATGGAAGACTGATAGGAAAAAAAAAAATTCTTTTCTGTAAGGGCCCATCTATATTATAATACTAGAATCATCAGGAATATCCAAGTTATTTCAGACTCTAACAGAAAAGATTATACTTGAGCTTCCTTTTTTTCCTGGGAAAGGAGGCAACAAGCTAATCTTAAAATATCAAAATGTTCTACTAGTAAATAGTACATTAGTAAACCAGTTTCTTCTAATGGGTGTAAAGAACACACCCATGTGGGCAATGCCACTATAAAATGTCCCCTCAGGAGAGGTGAGAATAGGGCAAGAAACACCTTGAGCCAGCAGATTAAAGGCCTTGCAAATATACCTGAGAACAATTCCAACCTGAGCATAAGTTTCTTGGCTAGGGCTCTTGTATTGTAAACATAGTTCACAGGTGGAGGACCCTGGTGACAAGCTAGGTAGAGGTTAGTTTTGTGTAAAGCAAAGAGACAGGATATATTAATATTATAGTAACGACAGTTTCTAACTCTTCATGGAGGGCTATAGTTGAAGTAACTAAATAGTGACTGAATTTAAATTGGTATTCTATAGGCAAGGCTATGATTAACTTTACATTCCCCAGTGTACTGTGGAATGAATGGAAGGTTTGCACTGGGAGTCACCTACTGCCAGCTTCTGAGCAAGATAGGCCTCTAGCTGTCTCTGCTTAACCCTCTTGAATGAGTGTTGAAAAGTCTAGCAATGCCTAGAGTTTGCCTCCACTTCCCTCCATCACCCATAGCACAGGCAAGGGAAACAGAACAAAAAGGAAGAAACTAGGAAAAGGGGAAGAGAAAGAGTCATGGTGCTACCTTCAAATCATTCAGTGATGATTCCTGTGTCAGATTGCCTTACCCTTGTTTACAAGAAATGTTTATCTAATACATTAAATAAGAAAGCTGCCGTAACCGGTTTGGCCCAGTGGATAGAGCGTCGGCCTGCGGACTGAAAGGTCCCAGGTTCGATTCCGGTCAAGGGCATGTACCTTGTGGGCACATCCCCAGTGGGGCGTGTGCAGGAGGTAGCTGATCGATGTTTCTCTCTCATCGATATTTCTAACTCTCTATCCCTCTCCCTTCCTTTCTGTAAAA